CCACAAGCAGTTAATTGTACCTGTTGGGGGTCTAGTAAGTTTTTAGTCCTGACCTCTGGCCTTGATGTGCCTCCCGTCTGTGGATGGAGATGGGAACAACCATTCGCATGCACGCAGGGATTCTGCTGAAAATTGGCTGCACAGGCAGCACATTGTGAGATACAGCTAATAGATGCTTTGCTGCAGCAAAGACCAACACAGTGTGTCTGGCTGTGGCACATGGCGAAGCTGCAGGCGCAAAAATAAAAAGAGAACAATCTACTGCCCATTTAAGTGGCAGCTGCTCCGGATGACTGCAGCGCTGCCCAGCAAATTACTGAGCAGGCAGAGGCGCAATTCCCTGGACCACGTGTTAATCACCTGCATCCAGAGGGTGAGAACAGAGAGACCCTGCAGTAATGTGGTGCAGGAGCACAGGCTTTAGGCTGTGGCGTAATAAATCTCCCTGCCTGCAGCCTGGCACTGTTTCTTCACCAAAGTTATACCAAATTTCAACAGCAAAACTGAAATGAGAAAGCAAGGTCGTGTCAGAAGGCTAAGTACAAAAGGCAGACTAAACCAGACTCTACTTAGTTAACAGTGGGCATAAATAGAAAGACAGAGGCCATCTGACAAAAGCACAAAAGCACGAAAACTGCCAAACATTTGCGTGCATCAGATGTTAATGATGATCAAACCTTATACAACACAGTCTGGAGAAGTCAGTGCCTTCACCCAGCATATGTCCATACTCTGTGTTGAACTGCAGTTGTCTCCTCTGAGATAACTCAGCTTAAAATTCTGATGTGGTTGCACCAACATTTAAAAGCAGGTAGCAAGTACCAATGGCTGGTTTCTTGTGTCCCCTACAAATTTGTTCAAGGTCATCACAAGACTGCTTCAGTTTTGGTGGCAATGCTTACATATCTAAAATTTGATCAGGATGTGTGCAATTAGTCAATATGGCCTGTTCTACACAGAAAGCAAATCTGTTTTACAGAAACAGTCATCTCTGAGCAAAGACACACAGCAGACAGTAGCTGAAGAGAGCTCTGAGCTTTAAAAATATGGCTACTTATTTCAGAGCTGAAGTACAAAGCCATTTTCTCTCCCAGATGGTAACAATTCAGATGGAGATAGTTCACCAACTAGCAAGCCTGAAATACCCAGCACAATCATTTTATAGGCTCACACTGAATCTGACAGAATGTCCTTGTGCATAAAACTGCTTCTGTGTGTGTTTGGGGAGGTGGTGGTAATACAGAGTGCTTTTTGACCCTGGCTTAACTAACAAGCATCAGTCAACCTTCAGTCAACCCACAATGAAGACAAGGTTCTTTAGTTTTGCCCAAATATGATCTCAATGATATGGACATAATCGTGTTTTTCAGGGCAAGACTCCTTGTGTTTACTTCAATGAACCACCAAAGAGTCCTGTCTTGACTGTGAGTTTTCCTGAGACAGTTGAAATGCACCAATCACTGCAGCTAAAAACTACCACACGAAAAGCCCACAACTTTTTTTTCCCACTTAAAAAAAAAAAAAAAAAAAATTAATCCCTATACAAAATTATTGAAGGCCTGAGACCAATATGTCAGTAGTTGAGAAACTCAATACTCAATACAGGTACAGAATAAAGGAACAGTAAATTCAGTGCTGCAGTACAGCCACCAGCTGCAGAAGGGACAGCAGTAACACTCTCAGTGGAAGGGCAATAATGACCACCAGTGATTTACTAAAAGTTTGGATTCCCAGTAGAAAACAGATTTCAGATTTTTGCGACTGTTCGATCACACCTGGCAATACCATGGCAGAGGTGACTGAAAACCTCAAAACCTCTGCAAAACACAGAGCCATTTCTTGCCTATCTAGATCACACCACCTTTCCATTGCAGCACCTTTAAAAAGAACATCAGAACCAGGTAAAACTTAGTGCACTGTAAATCTGCTGCCTTTTACTGGGAAGATCCCAAACTGGGTGTTAAAACTAAATCTTTGATATTTCAGGAATCACAGTTAGCTTGAAAACCAATGGCAACTATGAAGAAAACCAGCACCCACAACATTCAAATGGTACATACTGTTCAGTCACACAGATGCCCAGCCAGTACTTCTGTAGCTTCTTTTGCTACAATTGACTTTCCCCTCTTTTATTAAAGGATGCTGATATAAAACCCAGAGGCACACAAAAACATACACAAGCAGCTGATAAAAATGAGAAGCAGTCTATCATGCCTCTCACTAGTCAGTCAGCATGCCCATTAATTACTTAAATGCTGCTCCCCTTAATATTTCCACGTGGCATGGTATCACTCGGATATTCGGGAATTCATACCCCTTCACTAGACTTGGAGCTCATCCAAGGCTGGGGGATATTCATGAGACAGATTATAGGGTAGCAGAGACCAGCAAGGAATCTTACCTTAGCAGCGATGTTGCTCTTGGTCTTCAAGCCAGCTCACCCACCTTTGTGCTGAATATGTCTTGAGAAAATCCAAGTGACAGCAGTGAGTCATTCTTTGACTGAGTTGGTCACTGTCTGTCCCAAGAACTTCCTCAGTCATACTCCTACCAGGATCAGTCCAGTCTCTGAAGTCCTGTTAGCATCCTGTGTCTCTGACCAGCAGTAAAATAAATCATGGCTTTTAGAACCTTGGGATTCTTATGGGCTCTCCATCAGCAGCCACAAGGGATCCCATGGTTTCAGAGTTTACTGCTATCCACAGCAAATTTCCCAGTAAAATTAAGGTCAAACTTTGAAGGGAAGATCATATTTTCCAGAGGATAGGAGCATAAAAGTGCAACACTGATGCCTTTTGATCTGAGGTCTGCTTTGCTACTTGTGGTGAATCCTTGCCAGAATAATAGGTCTTCAGAGAGATTAATCCTAGAACATATATGACAAAGGTTTACCTAAGCTAAACATACCCCAGTATTTATATTATGCTCACAGCCAGCCCATATGATTTTACAGATCTTCATATGATTGAATCACACTTGCTTCTGAAGAGGTTGTTGGGGTTTTTAACCTTAATGGTTCACGTTTTTGCCTGAAAGTTGCTCCTATGAAAACATGTACTCCAGAAGATGATCCCATAGTGTCAGATCACCTTAAAGGAAAGCTTTCAAATTCTGCCTTATCCTATTAGCTTGTGAGATCAACTTTTCAGGTTTCAAAGGATAACACTACTCCATCAAGACCTGGCTGTTGCAGGAAGCCTCTGCTCACTGGAGTGCAAATCCAGAGAGTAACAGAATTGTTTAGCTTGGAAAAGAGCTCTAAAATCATTGAGTCAAACAAAGCTGATGTTAGCGTCTGGATATGGGCTGATCCTAGAACATCCAAACTGCCTTGCAAAGCCAGACATGATGTCCTGTGGCTGCAGTGAAAAAGGCTCAAGGTCCAATTTTCTCCTCCTTGTTTTCTCCTCAAAATTGACTGATCAGAATCAAAGAAGAACTGAAAGATTTGGGGAGTAGAAAAAGGAAACTTCACTAATCAATAAATTAAGAGGAAAATCTTGTGACCTACTTCACCACAGATGTTCACCTGTTTTCCCAAGAGACTTAGTTCTTTCATACACAACACAGGTTATGGTACTCTCTCCACAGACAATTTCATCAATTAAGATCCACATTATCTGCTGCCCTGTGTGACAGCATCAATCATGCCCTGTCTCGGAGCAAGTACTACTCAGTGCCGTTCAGGTAAGTCCTCCTTCTCCTCCTCCTCCTCATGTCATCACTGAGAATTCTGAAAAGGTGAAGGATTAAGGAGACTGAGAAACATCAAATGGGCCAGGCTGTATTTATGGATCTTGGTAGATGGTGGTTTAAAAATAACCACACAGGTTTTTCTGATGCCTAAATGGCACCCATTCTTTTTGCCTTGTAGAAAGTCTAGCATACTGTTTTCATCGTCAAGTTATTTGGATAACACAACAGCAATTTAGATTAGGATTTGTTTACACAGCTAAATATGTTGAGTAATGAAATTAAAATGAGCTCTCTGCCTCTGTCACATCTGCAATAGTAACAGGCTTCGTATGGTTGAGTACAAGCCTGCTGAACAGATGTTTCTTGATAAGGTATAAATCAGTGTTAGATGCTGTTTATTGCAGCATTTTTACCGCCTTCTTCCCTGAAGGAGGGAATGTTGTCTGCACAGCAACCAGATGTGACCTGCAAGACTGTATGAAATGCTATCACAAGCCAAAACAGGTCCCATATTCCATATCAGCATCTGCAATGGCTCATCAAGTATTTATCAGGTCATTTGAACATTTCTACAGGCCCTAGCACCATATCACCACCAGAATTTACTTATTATAACCTCCAATGAAAAAGGCAAGCATCCTGTAAAGCAACTGGAGCCTCAAACAGCAGATCCCATTTTAGTTTGGTTTCCTGCCTTAAAGGTCATATTTCTGAGCAGATACTGCTGCTAGATAGCAAGATACTATGAGAGATCAAGGCAGCTGTTTTTCAGGGCATTGTAGAGAAGAGTTTCTATTTACTGCCATTCTGCCATAGGTGATATCAACCCTTTGATGGTGACAGGGGTAAGATTTATTTTGAACTGGTGTCTATGCAAAGAGAAGTGAGACAAGGGAGCTTCTCCTCTGGTGTAGGTGGCACAGCTTGGAGCACCTCACTAAGCTCTGCCCAGCTCAGTGGGAACAAGAGGATCTAACAGGAAAAACTTGCCAATGACCCAGCATTTGCAGACAGCCAAGCCTGGCCCAAGCCACACTGGCTCCTCCTCTGTAGCTGATGAAAGCAACACCCATGGGCTCTGAAGGTAAGAGAGTCAAACTTCACAAGAAGTACTTCTTGGAAGGTTTCTTGAAGCAAAATTTTACCTCTCTTATTAAAAAAAAAAAAGAAAAAAAGATGGGATTGGGGGTGAGGTGGGCCAGAATGGGTTTTTCTTCCCTGAACTAATCTGTGTCTCTGATTTGCTTCACTTGTTACATGGACAGAAGATCCTGTCAACACAGAAATAATGCCAAGTATTTACAGTTTAATGGAACCGAGGGACCAATTAACAACACAGAAAACCACCAGGCAGCGTATTGCTTATCGTAACAGGAGGGAAATCTTACATTACTGCTGTTCCCCAATTTCTTAAAATAAAGCACCAGTGTTTCATCAATGATTTCTCAGTAGTAATGTTTATTACCTGCCAGTTTTACCACTGCCCATTCATCAATCGCTTTCTGTGTTCAGTCACAAAACCCATCTCTCTACTTGTGACCTAAAACCACCCCCAGAAAAAGAAGAAAAAATAAAAAAAGAAAGAAAAAAAAAGGAAAGAAAAAAGCAACTGTCCTCAGGGCTCCAGAGCAGCATTGCTAGAACCTGCCCTCCACCCCAAGCTCCCGAACTGCTGACTCCTCAATAGCCTGATGGATGCGATGCACCTCGTCCTGCGTTAGCGTCCTCTCCGGGTGCCGGTAAACGATACGGTAGCAGTGGCTGACCTTCTTCGTCCTACAAAACACAAACCAAAAGAGGACTCATAAATACATCTGCCTGCAAATGCAAATACATGAGGCCAAACACTTACCCTCTGGATCATTTTTATTTGCAGTCTAATTTTGCCCTTGTTGCTTGAAAATCACCTTAAGGCTAAGATACACAGTTCGGAGAGGCGGGACTGAGCTGAATTTTAATTTTGGCAGAGGACTTTGCTGAAGTCCACCTCATACCTCAACCTGTATTGTGGTGTGGTAGCTTCTTACCAGAGCAAACAACCCCCACAGGAGGGATTCTTACCCTGTGTCATGGAAAGTAAGAGACAAAGGAGAACAGGGAAGAGGAATAGAGAAAAGGGAATGACAGGGGAAAGAAAAGTATTTAAGAGTTGCTGGCTAGGCAAAGACAAGTTAATGAAAAATCAGGACAAACCACTAAGTTGAGTAGGAGTGAAAAAAATCTCCTTGCTCTCCATCAAAAGCAGGCAGGAGCACCTAGTTGTGCAAGGGCATCTCTGTAATTGCAGTGCCTGTGTTACAGAATTTAAATGGCAGTTTTGGCATCCTTTTTAGTCTCAAATGGAGCCCACACAGCTGCTTCTTTCAAAGGTGAACACTCACTTCAATGAAAGAGAAAAAATCTGAGGGGAAAAATAATGGAAAACCAGACAGTACCAGGCAGAAGAAGCTTCCAGACTGGCAGAACTCTGCATTTAATGGCACACAAAGGCAGTCAGCAAGCTTTGGGTCATCTCTCTCCTGAAAATTGCTTCATGTTAGAACCACATTTATGATTATTTGATTAAATCTAAGGTTAGATGTGTTCATCCACAACGACAACTCTCAAGATATTAATTCCAACCTCAAATCCTACTAGGAACAGGCACAGGTAATTTATACCTCAGAATTGTTGTTTGATACCAATTTTGTCCCACCCAACAAGGGCAGGCAATTTGCCCTGCTCCCACTGGCAGTTTACAACAAAAAGCTACTTCTAATTAAAGCATTTCTCCTTTTTTGTGTGCTCTGAAGATAAAGCAAGTTAAATCTGGCTAGTACCTGAAAGGGCAAACTGCATTTCATAAAGTGTTAAGCTGACTGCAGTTAACTGCTAAAAGCCAACCAAGAGCTTTCCCTGTGTGCAGGTTAAATGCTGCAGAGAAGTAATCTTTGAGAAAAGAGGGGGAGGTGTAACTGTGGGGAAGGTATTGCTCTCCTCTGCCCCACCTCTTCAAAGCAGCCAAGAGGACAAACCTCGGGGAAGCAAGTAAATGGAATAACAAGGCTTTGGTCAGATGCTACATTGCCAGTGAAAAACTTGAGTAAGAGAGAGGGATAATTCATCAGAGTTCAACAGAAATTATTTCAAAACCAGGCTAGCAAATATCCTTAGAGCTGGTAGTATTTCAATTTTTAAAGGTGCTACAGGAATACACCTGATCAAAAACATTTGCAAATTGTTTTGGCTGAAAATCCATTTAGAAGGTGTACAGTCACAGGCTTAATCCTGAAGTTTTACAAATATTGGGAATATACCCCATGAGTGAAAATTCCTTATCATTATTTAATATGATGCAAAAATGAGTTTGCTTAATGTAGGTGTATGCTGTGGTACGTGTAGCTACAACACTTCTTCTTCACTGGCCTTGGTTAAATGAAAGTGACAATTACTCCTGACTCAGGCGTTTCTCTATACTCCTCCCTCCATGCTAGAGAGTGGTTCATTCTGTAACAAATTATATATGGCAGACTAGGACACAATAGTTTCTTGTGGGTTTGTGGTAAAACAGTAGCTTTAGGATGTATTTAAATCAGGAAAGGGTAGAGGTTGCAGAGAACAGCACTGGACTAGAGTTCTGCTAGCTGCAGCTGAAGTTAAGCATTGGTGTGAGAGAACTAAAATGGGGATTGCATTAAATGTAATTAATCTAGATTTAATTATAGGCAAAAAATGAAGTTGTAACTACTAATATACATTACTCCACATAACATGGATGCTAAATTGTATGCGATGTTTTAATGTTTTTCTCCCACCTTGCATTTCTGCATTTCTGTTACTAATTAGAAAGAAGGAGTATGAGGGTTCAAAGCCATTTCAATAAAAGACACACTGCAAGTTTCAAAACCTTAAGCATTGTTTCCACAGTACTATTTACTAACTTTTCAAAGGAGATTTGGAAGAGCACTTTTCAGCTCTTCCCTCCCTTAATATTTCCCCTGCTCCCAAATAAAGTGTTAAAACACTGTGATTAATCCCTGCCATCAGCTACAACTGGAAACAATTATTGTCAGCAAATAATACCTTTGCTCATTCCGTTTCTCACTTCCCTTTTATTCTGCAGAGCCACAGAGTGTTTGCCTACCTTAGCGATGGCTCTGCTTATGCATAATGAAGCCTCTGCTGCATGTCATGCTGCAGCCTGACGATACAGAAGCAGGGGATCTCTATCCTGAGAAACAAAATTTTGAGGCCAAAACCTGCAGCAGCAGCTTCATGAGGTAAAAAAAAAGGAGAAAAAAAAGAGTAAAAAAATGTAGAAGCGTAACAGTGAGCACAGTGGGCTTTATTTACCTAAAGTGCACCGCCAGACAAGTCCGTGCGGTTGCAGTCACGCGGACTCCTCTCCCATTAGGCTTCAGCTGATCTCAGTGTCACAAGTCTCCTCTGCACCAGCCTGCGGCTCTCAGGTAATGAAGCGCAGTGAACACAGAGAAGCACTGCTCAAAGGGAGAAGGAAGACAGGGGTTTGTTCTGATGCCACAGGAGGAAACAGGATACAGACTGTGGACAAACACTGGAGCGAAAAAATGCTTAATGCTCTTTCATATGAGTTTTGGAGGAAAGAGCTTCGCCTCATGATTTTCAGGAATTGGCACTCAGCTGCCTTTATGTGCTAGGGAGCTGATCCCTGCCCGGTCAGAGTCACTGTGTGGGGTCCCTCTGAAGGTCAGTGTGTATGTTTGGGTATTTCAGCCTGATGCCTAAGCAGGACAAAAAATGAAGGGGTCTTAGTCTGCCACTAGTCTAATAAAATCAATATGAAAGCAACTCACCCTGGTACCCAGGCTAGAATGAAAGGGTGTGGTAGGCAACAAAAATTAAAACATGCGTGTTAGCTTTCCCTGCATGGAAGATCACTGAAGGATGCTTTAAATGCAACTTGGCTCTAAAGCTGATCCCAGAAGCTACAAACAGCAAAACACTTCAGCATTCTAGGGAGCCTGTCTCAGGCATTACATAAGACTAAGCACAGGGTCATTTGGTAACCAAAATGTTGCACAAATAATAAATGCCTGGCATTGGCACTTATCTCTTCCACATGCAATACCATAACAAGAATGAAAACTTCTCCATCCTGTACTGGAAGAGGGAGATAAAAGGGGCAGAGCTGAGTAGGAAACCCCTTACCTTTTAACTGTGTTCTATTTTCCATCTGCCTTAAATAAAGCACAGAAGCACAGAGTGCTCTGTATGGAGGTTACCCCTGTTCTTAAGTGCTGAGGACAACACAAAACCAGACATTTTTCTAGAGAGCTGGATTTACTTTGAGGAACAGAAAACTAGAGAGACAATCGGCCACAGCATGAAAAAGCAAAAAAGAGCCATCCCTTTTGTATCCCGAGCAGTTCACTAAGCAGTACTACTCACCATGATACCTATACTGCACCTTTTCCTACAGAATAGTTTTTTAAATGTAAGATCTACACACATGGTAGTGCAAGCATTTGAGATTTTTTCCTCTCTGTTAAGTGAGTCACATTAATGAGGCTCCTTGAGGTTATTCCTGCCATGGAAATGTGTATCCTCTATGCCTTCACAAGATTCATCATGTAATTCTCTTTCATAAACCTTCACACATTTCTCGGTGGCTGCTACATGCTTCACAGAGATCACATGCACGGAGTGACCTCAGGGAAGAGAAAGGCTTGTTTTGTTTGCCACAATGTCCCGAAAGCAGTGATGATGGGAAGAAAGGAATAAACTGTTTCATGTTACCAGCATCCTAATTGACAAAGCTATGCAGAGAGCACAGCTTTGGTTTTGCTTTGTGGCCTAGCAGTTCCAGAATGGTTCACATTTTAAGTGGAAACGGGGAAGAATATTAAACTGCAAGAAGAAGATGTCATTACCTGTTCCTTTTTGTTTCGTGCTTTCAAACCACATCCATCTCTGTGACAGCAGGCACAACTGCTAAATATCCTACCATAAATTTTAAACTGACAAATAGCACTCTTTGCTAGAAACCACATCATGGAAAATGGCAAAAGGCTTGTGCTGTATACCTTCTCATCAGTGGCAAATATTTCAATTACCATGGTGATATGCACATAGAATATAGCAGTATTCTCTGAACAAAGGTCTTTCCAAAATACGCATTCCCATCCATCCTTTCAAATGCTAATACTTCATCTCTCTGGAAGAGCACATTGTGCACACAGCATATTCTTAAAAAGGGACATGTTTTTGTTTAAGGTGATTTTGATGCCAGGGAAAGGCATTAGATCACCTCCAGACAAAAGAATTGTTTTAAACCCACGAAAAGCAGGAAATGGTCACTTCTCTTGCATACCTTCTCCAGCTGACACCTGGCAGAAGGGTGGTTCAGCTTCAAAAATAGTTCAAGCCAAGCTTGACACTCTCAAGCATGTTGAGAGTGTCAACTTCATTGGATTTTTTTTGGTGGTCACTTCAAAAGAGATGCATGTTCACTGACTGATGATTGGACTGAAATATCATTCTTCTAGTTCACAAAACTGAAACAATAATGGACTTTTTGCTCTTTTCTAATTGGACTTGGTGAAATCTGTATCTGAATACCAAACCTGAAACCTGCTTGACCTTTTCATTCTTTCTTTAGTATTAATTCCATTTTAAGCTTCTCTCTTCATGCAGGAAAAAAAAAAATCAAAATTCTGTTAATAGCCAGATTATTGAGAGATAAAAGAGCACAGTAGAGCACAGTAAGGGATACAAAGGCAAAAGACATAAATAACATCTTCTAGTTTAGATATTAA